TTAAATGAAGAGAGAAACAACAGACTGCAGCTAATCTGTTCTCATAGAAATACAGGTTTAATATTATTTCTGTAATATAATACCATAGTACAACTATGATAATTACCCCTGTGGGATCATCGTGATTGCCGTGAATACTAAAAATTGGAATAGAAATGTTGAGATTTCCATCCTGATAGTTCACCCATGGAAACCTGAACAGAAAGGGGAAGACAAGTTAAATTTTATCCATAGATTTGTTTATAGACAATTCACAGTATTCTCTTCAAATCAGTATCATCATAAATACATCATGACTGTGGCAAAAATGAATACTGAATGGTTATGAGTAAGCTTAAGCTGCACAGTGCAAGACTTATCTATGATCTGAAACGGAGCTTCTCACTCAGAGTAGGGTAGCAGAGACAGGTGTTGCTGCTGTTGTTTTTTTAAGGGCACGTTTATGAGAACTGTATGATACATGCAAGAGCAGTGGACTGGGCTGTGCAACCTTTCTCTACACATGAAGAACTCTGCTGATTTTACCACAACATTTCATGTTAGTCGGTTTCTTCATATCATACTGAAAGGTTAGGACCTACGTATCATATAGAAGTATCAAGGGTTACAAGATATTTAGAAGTTTCTCAAAAAATGGTATACAGTCACGTATAGGCTTAGATTATAAAAGAACACAGATGAGGTGATGCTACTAACTGTCCCACACAGGCCTAAAACTTCAAGGTTCTATTCACAGAAATTCTAAATAATAAATTCACAATATATTAACCAATAACCAAATGAAATAAGCCACACCATAATTTATAGAAATATACTTACTTGCTAAAATGAAAATTAACTGCCTGATCACTCAAAATTTCAAAGTGAACAGGACGATCACCCATGCAGTATTTTCTTAGCGACTCCAAACAAGAGTGTACTGTTTTTCTGGAAGGTTTGTTTTCATGAAAAAGGTCCCCACCTAATAAAACAAAATCCACCTGTATGCAACAAAAAGCTCTATTATTTTAATATAGCATTTTCTACTACCTTAAAAGACTTGTTAACAACCGTCTAAGTTATATCTTTTAAGGAGTTCTATATATCTCATCATAGCTGGACTTCTAGATAAAAGACTAGTTTATAGTTGCAGACATTCTGTACTTCATTTTCTCATGAAATTAAGTAAATTATTTCAAAAAAATTACAATCTATGAAAAAGTCTTTAGGACAGAACAGACTGTTAACAAAAAAAAAAAAAAAAAGAAAAAAAAGGGGGTTTAATAATGGTCCCAAATCAGCTCCTGAATGTTTCCTTTGATAGTCAAGGGGAGATGCATATCTTTTTATTCCCGTGATAGTAGACGGAGGAAGTCAGTACCTACTGCTGCATTACTTTGGGTGGATGTTAGTTTTAGTTTCTGGATATATTTAGTTTCTAAAATAGGCATAAAAAAATCATCAAGAGTACAAGTAATTTGACTGAAGTATATTCAGTTCTTAAGAACAGTTACAACACTTGAAAAGTTTTTAAAGAGTTCCTGTTTTCTGAAGAGTTCCTGTTTTTGAAGACTTTTTTTTTTTTTTTAAATCATAATCCTCACTCTCCCCAGTTCTTTTTCCTTCCTCTGGAACTGGTAACAGCAAGCTGAAATCACTATTAACTTTACCAAAGTTATAGTTTAAGAAGAACACTCTCATAAAGGAAAAAATATTTCTTTTTAGCAAGACAGAAGTGTAAGTCGTCGCAATAAATAAATAAATTTAGTTTGTTATTACTAAGACTGCACCAGGACTAAGCTTTACACTACATGCTTTTGGGCTCCAATGGACTTTCCATGGTCTCACTGTTTTCTTTTCCAAATAAGTACTACTTACTTCATTTGTTTGAGCTTGCTCCAAAATTTCATTAAAAGTTACAAAGGTATCATTTCCACGTACTGGGTCTTTCTCCAAATATCCAAGATGAATATCAGTAGCAATTAGTATTTTAAAGGTATCTTCATCATCCCTGAGTAAAAAGGGAAAATTAGTGCTGAAGAACAATATAATTGAGAACTATAGCACTGACTTTATTAAGATAAGCTGTTCTGTCTGAAGTCATGAAGCACACAGGAGAACTTGTTACAAAGTTTTACTACGTTATCTCTTCTTTCCTGTAACGTTCTCAAAACATGTAACTATCGTTGCAAACAGTACTTCAGATAACTAAGCAAACTATTTTGAAAGTTAGGTCATCTAAATCAGTCTACCACACAGCTGAAAACATCTCTTTGAATGAACTAATAAAATAACTAAAGAATCCTTTGCGTGTTTTCTGCCTCTAAAAAGACTTAAGAAAATAAGCATTCCTCCCCTCTGTTTGCACTGGTGATCTACATACACACGAGGGAAAGCATGAGGATCATAAGGATTTGAAAGAAAACATTAATGCAAAACCGAGCTCTTCTCAACTCATTCCAAACACACAAGACTTGTTATTTCCTAGGTCAGCATGGAGGTGAGGAGAACAGCTTACTGTGAGGTGATGGTACTCATCTTTCTGCAGAGACTGCTCACAAAGAGGCTGCAGACACGGCTTAATAAGTCCGGCCAGAAACTGTGTTTCTAGCTTTGAAGATGCTATATAATATCTAAGAGAGAAAAACGCAAACGAATTATAATCGAAGGTACAGCGAACCGAGCTGCCATCTACCTAGTCTTTCAATAATAAGGATTCCTTGGGGAAGAAAAATAGCCGCAAAAGCCCAGAACACAAACAAAAAACCAGAAAAACAAGTTCAGGCAAGGAAGCTTAGCTCGACCACTGACGGCCGCACAACACATCTCGATCACACGGGGCCGAGATGAGCCAGCTCCGGCTCGCACCGGCATGCGGAGGCAGCGGCCCCCCGAGGCGGGCCCCAACGGCGCTCCGAGGCAACGGCGGCGAAGCGGGGCCGCCTGAGCAGACGGA